CAGGTTTGGTCTGTGGCTTTGTCCAGGACAGCCAGAGGTTCTGCTTTGGCCAATAACCGGGCTGTGATCTTTTTAAAAAATAGGAAAAAATAATAAAATGTTAAAATTTGAAAATCAAACACCGTCCTCACCTCTGGGGTCGGCCACAGCGGGACTGGAGAATCCCTCAGCTGACGGGGTGTTGGTCCCCTCCTCCTGCCCCTGAATCTGCCCCTGCCCCTTGAGTGAGGAATTGGAAGGGGAGCACGTCTCAGTGAGAAGTGGACGCTGACCGTGGAGGCCACGTGCAGACTCGAGATCAACGTGATGGGCGGTGAGGGAGCAGCGCCGACTCCCCCAGATCTGCAGAGCTCAAGTCCCGTGTTCTGCTGCTGGATTCTCCCTCTGCTGCATCTGGTCCTTCCTGGGACCCCAGAGGATGACAAGTCCCCTTGCTCCCCGCACACCTGTCCCTCTGTCACCCATCTCCAAGGCTGCGTGTCCGTCCTCTCTCCAAGCCTGGTCATCACACAGCAGCTGGACCATCACTTCTCAGCAGTTCACAGCTGGGGGGTGGGGTGACGTTTCCATGGTGAGGCTGGACCACCCAGAGGCTTAACTCCCAGGAACGTTTACTGACTTAGGGGACCAGGGCTTCATTGCATTGAGGTTTATCTCTGTGTGCGGGTCTGGACCTGCACTGTAAGCCCCTCCATCTCCCACCTGTGTGTGTCCTCAGAGAAGGGGTGTCGGGGTTAGTGATTACGCCCCTGGGATGAGTCAAGTCCCCACCTCAATGCCTCTTTTATTCTAACACACCCACCAGGGGCGTCTAGGAGGCACACTGGTTTCTGTCCCCACAGAGTGTCACATTGACTTGAGTCCCCAGACCTTCCACCTTTGCTCCAGAGCTAGTGGCCGCATCTCACAGGGGATTGGAGCAGGAGGGGCATCTCTGGCCCCTCCTTCCCCTTCCTGTTCTGTCCCCACGGAGCCCCATCCCTGCTCCCCAGGCCTCTCCACCAGGCCCTGCTCCCTGTCTCCACCCACTCAGAGGCACCTCATCCTCACCCTACAGAAGAGGGAAGGTCCTGGATTTCACAGCCAGAACGCTGCACTTTCAAGTCACAGATCAAGGCCTCTTAACCGTCAACCCCTGTCTTTCTCCACGTTTTCTTCCTTGTCTTGACCCCTGGCCATAAGGAGAGGTTTTCAAAGCATAGGAAACAGAAAAAAGTGGCCCAGTTTGTCAAAACATGCAGAATGTGTCCCAGGGACATTAACCAGACCTGAGCCAGGCTCTTTTCCCACTTTCACATCAGCTGCAGGTTGATGAATTAAGCGTGTGACACAGTGAGGCCCTGACACCCATTTCTGGCTTCTCCTTTGCTAACATGATCCTGCTGCTGTCAAGGGCGGCAATGTGCCCAGGCTCTCTCCCAGCTCAAGCTCAATTCTGGCCACTGAGAGAGGAGCAGAGATCTGCTCCAGGGGAGGGCGGGGTGGGGGGTCTGGGAGACCTGTTGCTTTCCTGATAAAGGGCTCAGACAGAACTGGCTGTCTTAGATGGCGTTTCCTGGACACAGACTCTGAGACCGAGGCTGTGTGTGCAGGTTTACTGGGGAGGGCTCATGGAAGATGCACCTGGGACAGGCGAGGGAGGCAGGACTGGGCAGAGGGGGGAGCTGGCCCACGGTGAGTTTACTTCCGAGGCCTCAGCTGATGAGCTGATGGCCCCTGCAGAGTGTCCCTGCCTGAGTCAAGAGGGCAGAGCCTGTGTTTCCCAAGTCAGCCGTCATTGATTCCAGGGTGGGGGCTTAATGTGTCAGTGGTGACTGCTCTCCCCAGCAGCTGGGGGTCCATCAGCCTGAAGAGGTGACCTGGGCAGGCCCCACCGTACCCGGTATACTGCCACCTCCTCCTCCTGCCTTGAACAAGGACGTCATGGCCGGGGCTACTGCCAAGGAGATGGCAAGGCCGGCCGGACACTGATGACTGTTGGACCAACACCAGCCCCCTCTCTCCTCGGACTTGTCCTTATGTGAGAAAGACGACAGTCTGTGCAATCCCTCGTGGTCAGCTCACTGATGCAGCAGCTGAAGACACTGCCTCCTGAGAGGCGGACTCCTTCCCACTTTCCCCTCTACCTCCAAAGCCTGGACTCCCTCAGGCCTGACCCCAGAGACTCTACCTCCTGAAGGATCTGGAATCCGTCTTCTCCCTACTGCCTCCCAGGCCCTCATCACTGGGAATCCCAGGACCTGTGTCCCTAGAGCCAGGCACCACCTCCAGGAAGACCTGCCCAGTCCCCCAGCCACGGATCAGATTCTGTCCCTCCCTGGCCCAAAATCCCTCACTGCCCTCAGATAAAGCATAAACCCCTTGGGAAGTGGCCCCCAGGCCCTAAATGCAGGTCTGACCCCAGCCCCATGTCCAACTCCACCCCTGCCCCGCCCCACCCTGCCCTCACCCAGCCCTGTGTGTCAGGATGGCTGCTGGGGCAGCTCAGCCTGCTGCTGTGTCCCTGCATGTGGTGACATTCCGCTGCCTCCTCCCAGGAACACGAAGGCCCTGACATTCTCGTCTACAGGAAAACTCTGCTTTATCTCGCAGGACGTCTCTCT